AACAAGAGTAGGTCTTGTACGACGTTCTGAACCTGTAACTACCTTTATTGAACCAATTACACCCATCTAGAAAGCCAGTTTCGTCAAAGTTGTGGATGTCGTCTAAATCAACCCCATACTTCTCAATTGTCTCTCGTACGAGGTTAAACCACGCGTTAATAATCTCTGGGTCCTCTTGCTGAACTCTCTGACGATCCTTTGCTTGATTGAAGGCTGTTCTAAGCTCGTCCGTACGCGATACGAACCGCTCTGGCCAGTTCTTGCCTAAAGGCTGGCCATCTCGTACGCGTAGTAGTTTTTCTGCCATATCTGCTACTTCACATAGACAGGGGGCAAATCCTCGCGAGTCTAGGTCAAGAATGTATCGTACGATAGTTTGCTCTTCAGATTTAGTTAGCTTCTGGCAATTTGGCTGCGTCGTAGGTCGAAAGGTGATTCCTTGAAGCCGCCGAGAGATCTGCTGATGATGGACGTTATAGGCTGCTGCAGCGCGTCGAATGCTCTTAAACTGGCCTGTACGATAGGCCTGAACTGCTAGAGTAAGCCTACCCTCTTGCTGAGTAAATATCACGTTCTGTTGTTGAGGCATTGTCCTTCGTACGTGAAGTTCGCGATGCCAAGAAAAAGTGGCACTCTCGGTGGGGTGGCACTCTCGGTGGTGGAATACGTTAGTAATATACCTGTTATTTTTATAATTTTATATATAGATTTGCTACTAAAAGTTAATTTTAATATAATAATAAAGGAGCAAGTTAATATATCTATATTTAAAGCTATAGTAAATTAAAAATGCTTAAAAGAATAAGTATATAAGCTATTGCTAGCTTTAAAAAATTGATATAGGCGCTAAGAATAGTTAGGCTAATAGGCTAGCGGCTTAGCGTGGCGCTAGCAAGAACTTTTGACAGTCACCTCCGTAGAAGGTTAGTTTTGACCCACCAAGGCTCCATGTAACAATCGGCTTACCCAGCTTGCTGGGCTTGCTATTGACACCGCTGGTGATGTGAGTGGTCCTGTGAACCGTTTCCGCAGTCATCTCCGATTACTGCTATTGGCAGCCAGGGTGTGAAACGCGGGTAATAACCGTGATTCGCTAGCTCAGGAAACTGCGGGGGCATCTGTCTTCCACATAGGCAGAATCGACGTTGCATTGCCACGTTACCCCGGCATCAATATCCGTATGCAAAGCAAAGGGCATACGAGCGGTCTCCATACACCTAGCATGTCCTAACTTAGGTAATTGGCTTCAGGGGTACGCATTACACTGCGATGTCAACCGTACTTTGCCCTACCAATGAGCAACGAACAGACCCAGTTATCCCCAGAATAACGGAGTTCTTACTAATTAGAATCTCTACTCTAGCTTCTTAGCATCGCTACATAGAGCGTAGATCTAAAAAAAACCCCGAAAGAAAAGAACGAAAAAAGGTGCGCTAGAGCTAAATAAGAGCTTCTTGCTGGCATAGAGCCTGTTTGCCACCTACCCCTTATGGGCGGGACAAAATACGCTTGACATCGCGGTGTACCTATTTCCGTCGTCCGGTATTGCCAAAGCTTGACGCCGATCATTTCTGATCCCTGTACGGAGGAGCTTGTTTTGTTGAATCACGCAGCCCGTGCGCCAGAATTCGACCAAAAGACTGCTTTTCTATCCCAAGATGTTTGCTCTCAGCGGTGAAAATTTCGAGAGGAAACTCGTCTATGACAACTTAGACAGCTAATATTGTTTTGGCTAATTCGATTAATGCTATGTGGTTGTTTTCCGATTTCGTATACGCGCACAGATAGCATTGAAGAGCGGGTGCACGAGCCAGAATATCCCTCAATTGATACGAGGTCCGTCGTATCATGAGTCAACGCCCCGGTAATGCGCCGAATAGGTGTCAGCTCATCAGCAACCCAAGGATACTGGAAGGGAGATATAAGAATCCAAGCTTTGCTGCCGAGAATATTACCACACTTCACGTTCACAGCTCGCCTAATCACCACCATTATAACGCTCGTTTCACTCGCTTCGATCTTCCTACACCATCCAACCCACTTAATCAAACCCAAAATGCGTTCTCAAATCTTCGCTGGTCTTGCCCTTGCCGCCGTGGTTGCAGCAGCCCCATTGGAATGCCGTGCATCTGACGAGCCAATTACCATCGACAATGCTTCGTTCGTCCGTGAAGATAGCAACAGCAACGACAACTGGGATACCATCACTTTCCTTGGCTTCGACCTGACCACCCCATCTGGCACTGTCAGCTGTTCTGCAAACAGCTTCCCGAATCCATCTGTCCCGTCCAACGTGTACGCATGTGCCAATGCCGCATACTCGTTCCAGATCAGCAGCCGCCCCGGCTACGATCTCTACGCCATCACTGTCACCCACAAGGTCTCCGACAGGTACGTCAGTCCCCTTATTTCCTAGCGTCGTTGTACTAACTGTTATTAGCGTCACTTTGACCGGTACCGCCAACGTCGGCTGCAACGGCCCTATCCCCAAGTCCTGCTCCCAGACGCGTACCGGAAAGGCCACGCTTACTGCCGCTTAAGCGCCAGGTATGGTCATCTTGAGAAGGGAATCGGGCCTCGGGCAGCGGTATACCTACCTCCTTAAAAACTTATCATCATGGTAATATCATAGAACGTAAATGAAAATCTTGTCGGTTCCTTACATTTGAGTTCACACTGTTGAAGATTGGTGGAATTGTTCGCGATGTTGCTGCACCGCCTGGATCGTCCTGTGCCACCCCCATAATGTTGGACCAATCTGGTTAGCTGTTAATGATAGAGCTTTGGACCTTGCCGACTTCATCACGTGTTTCAGGAATTTGCCTTGAGCTCTAAAATGCCCGTGTCTGTCGCACGGGTGTATCTCGTCTCCATATACCTCACGCATGGTTGACATTGTCAGAGACACTGATATTGCAGTGAGACCAAAGTATTTCTGTGTACCGAAGCCGTGTCCATCAACAGCTTCGCGTCGCGGCTTGGCTCTTTCGCACCGATATGATGGATCCAAAACCAATAGGAAAACGACGGCCACATACCAAATCGCGTAACGGATGTCTGCAGTGTAAACACAGGAAGATCAAGGTGCCTTTAGCTTGAAAATAAATCTGGAACCAAGTTATCTGATACATCACATAGTGCGATGAAGAAAAAGTGGATGTGGTTACTGCATGCGGAGAGGTACGCGTTGCGTATTTCCACGTTCCTTGAAAGCATCTGCGCCTGTTGAGCTAACCTCCCAGTTACACCTCGTGCGCAGATTCCTAGTGAACGTTCACCTGGACTATCAGATTCCAGTACTTTACCGATACTGCCTAAGATATCGGCCCGAAGCTTCAACCATGGTGAAGAGCTAGATTCCTTTACCATGAACGATCTCGTTCTACTGCATCACTGGTCCCTCGTCACCAGCCTTACCATGGTCAATACTCCAGGTGTTGATCACATCTGGCAAACTGCCATGGTACAGATTGGAGCTCAAAATCCATACGTCATGCATGGCATATTTAGCCTCATAGCGCCACATCTCGCCTACCTTGGCCCACCAAGGAAGCATACTCTGGTCGCAACAGCTGCACAACACCACAATAGAGTCCTTCGCGACTTCCAAGCCAAACTTTGCAACATCAATGATTGCGACAGCGATGCTATTTTTTGAGTGCCTCCATAAACATGTTATATATTTTCGCCACCTTCGGAAATCTGTATCATGGCAACACAAACGAGTCCTCAGCCGATCTGCGCTCGCGTATCCTTGGTGAGAATTGGATCCCATTGATACGAGGCGTAAATAGATTGCTACAGCAGATTCGCGAACGCGTTAGCGTCGGTCTGCTAAGTTCGTTGCTAAGGATCGGAAACTGGAATGACCCCGACCCGGATACCGCTACTGTACCATACGACGCGAAGATGCAATCTCTCAAGTCAATATGGGCGAACTACGCGGCTAAGGGGGCCTACTGTTGGTTCAATCAGATTGTTGACTTGATGATGATGATGTCAGTTGTACTTGCAAAGATAACCCCAGCATTGGTTTGCTCACCACCCTTCACTTTAGACTCCAGGCCCATGAATTAACCACGTTCAAGGGCCAGCGTTTTGTTCCATGTCGCACCAATAGTAATGGCAGAAGGATAGCCGTTAACACCAGCGATGTCATGAGACCGCTGGGACCATCGTTTCCACATATGCCAGGAAATCTAAGACAAGGAACTCCAGGTATTTGGCCCGCGTATCCAATTTTGGTGGACGTCTGTCCGGATACAACGAAAACCTTTTCTTCAATGGTCATCTGATCTACCACTGCTGATGCCTGCTGATAAGCATCGGCCCAATCGTCTAACACTGTGGCATGTGCTGCGCATAGATTAGCGTCAATAAGCTGGCCACTAGAGACACTTACAATCATGGGAGAAAGGTTACTAACGTATTGAATAGAAAGAAGGACTCCTATCGTAGCTCCAATATAGCTGCTGAGCTTCAATCACTTCGGGCAATGCGGGAACCTGACCGCCCATAGCTTGCTGGAAGATTGCAAGGATTTTGACTAACTTCTCCGCAGACAGAAACTCGAGGTACTGCCTCGTAGCATCGTCAATAGATAGGCCATCTGGAATCTGGACGGATGAAAAAGAGGAGGTAGACAATAGCCCAACTAGAATCCGAGTTACAGAACCGAATGCCATGATGGAAGGTGCGCGTTGATAGACCTACAAAGTGGTGCTGCGTGTCTTTTAAACTGTAGTCATGAACCGCACGGTTCAGAGCATCTTGTACAGTGCCGGCACATAAGGAAGTGTAACCAAAGACCAGCTATTGAGACGAAATTAGCTACCGAGCGTCACTAGACCACGCGCAGAGGGTATAGATTTGGTATACGTATAGCACATACAGTGCGCACAGAGTATCCAGTACGCACATCGTGACTAGTGCGCCTAGCCCATAAGTTATGGATGGTTAAGCAGAATCTAATTGAGGAGAGAGCTAGTGTCTTCTAGATCTGTGCGCAGAGGGTATCTACGCACAGCGTATCTAATACCCGTTCACGTGACCTTCATACGCATATAAAAGCGCAACATTTAGCGCCGTTTTGGAAGACTTGTAGTGTAATTGAGAATCAGAAACGAATGAAATAGGGTGTGGATGTAGAATTACTGAAGATAGCTACCCAAACTTATGCGCCAATCATCTGGAGTATTTTTTAAGACACGACTTAGGTTACGAAAATGAAGAGATATATATAAAGAACAATAAATCCATGTTATTAGTACGCTTAAGGATATGCTGCCTTGATCATATCCGCGGCTTTTTCAGCAACAGCATACAATGTGGAGGCCAGGTGACCGCAAACCTGGAATGGAAGTACGGACGCGTCAACGACACGAACATTGCTAGTACCGTATACCGTGAGAGTGGGGTCGACGACTCCTCCGAGATCCTTGGGCATCATAGCAGCACTGCCGATGTAGTGGAAATTCGAGCGATCTGTTCATATGTGAGTCCAATTACTCGATTTCACTTGCCTGAAGGTGAATGAAATGGAGACTTACAAGTAGACTTGAGCCACTGAGCCCAATCGGCATCAGAGGCATTGCGCGAGAGCTTGTTGAGTCCAGGAGTGACTTCCCCCGTTACCAAATTGGAGAAAGGAGCAGTGTTGGTAAATGCACGCGCCATTTTCCCCGCAACTACTTGCTGCTGGACGTCATAATCCAACATGAAGTAGTTGGGGTTGATGTGCGCAGGTAGAGTGGCGTTGGAAGAGTTGATGTGGATGCTACCTCGAGAGAACGGAAGAAGACCCCAGTACTCGATCGTAAGGTCTGCAGTGGGAGCAGGCGCGATAATAATTTCGGCGATCGGGATCTTGTTCTTGAAGATCAAATCATATTGGATTTTGAAGAGTTTCTCGGTGACATCAGCGCTGATGACGCCACTGGCGTTAGCTGTCCTCTCGGCATATTCGCGGATGGATTTCGCAATAGTTTCGTTGAACGCGTCGAGTTCCTCTCCGAAAAGGTCTTCCACGTTAGCATACGCTGCGTAGCCCGCAAGCCCCGTGAGGTTTGTTGTGTTCTTCATTGTGTACATCATATCCGTGGTGGTCTGGTCCTGGAGGTTCTCGCCAACGAAGGGCAAGTCAACGACAACATCAACACCAGCCTTCTTCAGAATACTTTGGTTGTTGTCAGCTTTCTTTCCATCAGCATCTCGGATGAATGTTACACATACGCAGAGTTTCCGACACCAGACTTTTCCAATAGCAGTGGTGACATGAGACTTCCAGCCGAGAGGATTACCTCACGGTTGGCAAGAATTGTAGATGTGCCGTTGCAGGTAGTGAAAACAACACCGCTTGCTTTGGGCGTGCTTTCCTTGGTGTTTGGATGCCAAATCAGCTTTTCGGCTTTGGAGTTCAAGTAGATATCCAGATTGGGCCGTTTCGAAACGGGCCAGTAGTATGCACGTCCAGCATCTTCGCGCACGTTCTTAGCCCTGTCGATTGTTTTGGGAAAGACTGTGAATCCACGCATAGAACCTGCGTTTGGCTCGCGATTGAAAGGGAGGCCCAGCGCACCGAAGGATCGGTTTACTGGCGAGACGATCTCTTGTCCCATCATGTTCGCAGTCCAGCCAATACTCAGAGGACCAGATGTGCCGTGAACGTCCGGATCATATGAGGCACCAAGGAGAATTTGATCCTCAGTTGGAGGCTGCATATACTCACTCTTCGAGTAGTAGTGCATCAGATCTTCCCAGTTCCAACCTTGGTTTCCAATCTGTTCCCAGGCATCGATCTGGGACGTCTCCGCTCGCAGATAGGTCATACCTAGGGACCGTGTTTCAGCAATTCATTCCCTAAGAAGCCATCTTATATGTACGAACCATTGATATCGCTAGTTCCACCTAAAATCTTTCCCGCTCGGAGAGTTTGAGTGGCTCCGCCGGCATACTGCTGAGGTGCGCTTCGGTATTGCCAGTCGATGTCAGTGCCAAATGCGGCGCCATATTTGGACGTGTCGGACACGTTGGTATTGGAAAGTTCGACATCTCCAGCTTCGATGATCGCGACGGTGACATTGTAGTCTTCGGATAGTCTATTCGCGACAACGAGACCTGACGTTCCTCCGCCGACGATAACATAATCGTATCGAGGGCTATGGTCAGGGGCCCCTGTAACATCCCCAGCCAAAGCAAGAGCTGCTGGAGTGACGGCGAGCAAAGTGAGTATACGATTCATCACTGGAAAAAACGATTGCTCTCCGTGTATAGGAAGAATGTGCTGACAGGGTGAGGTATGGCTACGTATCGCTATTGCTGCTATATATATAAAAACAAACTCATATTTTACGTCGCGGTGGTCTGAAATTGAAAGATTTGACAGCCCCCCTGATTGCACATTTTTCAAGAGATAGTCGTTGTTACCAACCAATTTGTAAACAGGATGTGCTCCACATCGGCTTCTCTTCATGTTGTTTTCGGCGAAAAACGGCGGTGTTGCGCGAACCCCCTCGAAACCACTAACTTTATAGGGCGAACAGAATTTTCTATCCCTGTGGCTAATCTGTGGCAAACTAGACAGCCGATAAAAATACTTCTCCTATGATGTAATCTTCGTTACTGACAGAATGCTTTGTAAGTCCGGTCAGGTCTCACGTCATAAGAGATCAATACGAAATGTATGCAATTACACTGATCTCCGAGTTTTTGGGTTCTGCACACATTATGTTTGGCATTCGAATCTTTCCATGAAGGGCTTTACGCATGGCTTGCGAAGATATATAAGACCTAATTTGACAATCTGGCCAATATCTGGCATTGCTAATTATCACATGGCCTAAGAGCATCATATTCCATTATTTTCGTGATATATGTATGTCTGCAGAAGCGTCAAATACCTGTATTTTTTCGCCGATCAACAAAGCATGCGTTCTACTGTGCCATAATACAATCGTGGTTTCTCATTCCTTAGCGCATCGTCGCTGTGTTAAGGACTTTCCTCCTGAAACACGGTGCGGATGTCTTTTTTTACTGGGCGCTCATGGGGTGCCCTTTGGGTCAACTCTTCTCTTGGTTATATTGCATTGATATCGGGTGTTCTGATGTTGAATTCTGGTATATCTGCGTATCAGATGATCGCCTCCGCCTGTGTCATACACTTGTGGGTGTCTCGTACTTTTCATCGCCAAGTTCTTCTACAGCCACCAGCTTGGATCGGCGGGCGCTGAACCACCGTATATTGTGTGGCCTGCTTGCTACAAAGCCAAGAGACTACTGTTGTTGTATCTTTTTTCCATAAACACTACTGCAAGTCCACTTAGACATGTCACATGACTCTCTTCTGAGCCCGCTGGGCCCCAGATGCGGGAACCAAAAATCTCGCGCTCAACATGAGATTTTCATTGCACATCTGGACGATCTTGGCTACAAATTTCGACAATAGGCTCTGCACAAAAGTTGAACATTTGGGTAGTAACACCGATTACATGACAGAACAATTCGTCTTCTATTTACGGAGCAAAGCCTGTTAGCGTCGTAGCTTGTTGGAGGCTATGTGACACCTGCAAAACAATGGAGTGCGAAGTAAAAGAGAATTGGTCAGCTCCATGTTGAATGATGCCATGAATCTTCAGTCCAAGACCCGTCTTATTGTTGCATCCAACAAACTAACTGCAATAGTCGCTGTGCCCGGATCCTCCATCTGTGCATCGGTTAACACCACAGTACCTGACAACTGGGGTGTCCGTGCATGCGCCGCAGTGGAACAGCGTGTACCGCACATGATCGGGGTCTACGGGTAGCCCAGCCCTCTCAAGCGCAGTCTGAATTTCTCCATAGTAATTGCCTATCAAGCAGAAGAAAAGTAATCAGCGTCACAAAGTTTACCTGATGCCAGGATATAGAGAGCCTAACCTTTGTTGAGAAGACCATAGCCGCAGTAGTCGAGGCCGTTTTTACAGCAGTCGGCCGTTACAAGGCCTCCGAAGAGGGCAAGAGTGAGAGCGTGCATGATTGAAAAATGCATTATGAATATCTGGAATTGGCTTCTATGACTGCTGAAATAACTAATCAAGTCTGTTGTAGAGTGAAGCGTGCGGGAAAGATCTTGTAGGAGAAGCTTCTCCTCTATATAGTCTTTGATTTTCCTATATGCATTTGTGCAGCGACTTATTATGTAACAGAAGTGACTCGATCAGCCCATCTGTTAACAGCCCGAAAGTAGGACTTACACAAGCGGTTGGTAAGGTAACACAGCGTAGCGAAAGCTGATATAGACATCGTATAAGATGTGGGTAAGGTTACATGTTGGGATCCGCATCCATGAAAGTGGACAAGCTCTATAGGATCCTTGGCTAAATTAGTCAACTGCATTACCGCTATGCATATGCAGGAAAGCTCAGCTCAGTCACGCTAGCATCTAAAACGGCCCTTGCACTCTACAGAGTCACTTTTTAGACATTCCCTCTGCTGATGTACATGTTATCGCCAAGTTTTCAGCCCCAGGTGGGCTGAGCAGGCCCACAAATATTTTCGGTTACTTAATGCAAGCTCCTCCAAGTCACTACCGCTTTGGCTGCATATTAAAATTAGTCAGGTGTGGCGGAAAGCGCCTCACCAAAGCATTGATACACTGTCGCAAAATGCTAGAACGATTACGCAGAGGATGCCACAGCTCAAAACTATGGTGCTCTGAAACAGTGAACTAGAACACGCCTGTGCGGTAATCTATCAGCGGAATACTGCAGGTACAGTGGCTACGCTTACATGGCGTAGAACATGAAATCTTGAGCTTAGCGATGATGTTTTTGAGTCCTGGAAGCAGGTTGCCTCTGGTCTCTGCTATCTACACTTGGAAAAGAAAGCATTGAGTGACGTGGATATCAGGTCCCATGGTGATGCAATTCATCACTTGTGTTTGCCGGATGTACATGTTGATTCAGATTCAATATGTCAGATACGTCGTGAGGGAATGCTGTAAAGAATGGCTTGATTAATCTATCTGTAAAGATTTCTATCTATTTTTGGCTGTTCTTGGCTTGGCTGACCAACCTGCAAACAGGCAGACGACTCAGTGACATGGAGGTCAGTATGTCCGCAGAAACAAAGTCCTTTGTATCCACAGTAAACGTTCAACGGTCCGCCAGAAATCTTCCTCCTGACTGACGAATCCTCCAGTTCAATTCACCGCGACCGCCATAGCCAGAATAGTTTGGGCGACCCAGCCTGAGGTTGGACATTGAGAACCCAGGGGTGGATGACGAGCCAGGTCCATGTCTAGCCGTTCTAGCGAAGTCAGCCAACCAGTCGATTTCTACCCTAACATGAGGATATGCTGTCTCAGGGTTAAGGACAAAAGGCTCGACATCCAAAGCAAACTGTCCAGTGCTCGTGCTTGCGCCAGCTGGCACAGGTTGCAGTGATAATCTACCAGAGACACTATGCGCAACCTCTTGCACGTGCGGTGAAGATCGAATCGTGACTGCTCCAGACGTGCTGGTCTCTTCAGCAGTTAATAAGATATCCCCGCTCTCTACTTCATCGGCAGTAATCCCAATATCCACAGTCGCGTCAAGGGTAGCGACAACTTCTGCAGCCTCAAGGAATTCCACGGTAAACTCAATCAGCACAAGAGCTCCAATAATAAACTGGCCAGAAGCAGTCACAAAGACGCTAGCAAGAATGAATGCTGGAGCGAAGCGCATATTGGCTGGTAGGGTGCGTAAAAATAATGTGAAAAGATGTCTATGAAGCGTCGTTGAACTGAGAGCGAGATCTGGGATTTATACTTGGAGCGCGTCTATATGAAGGTTTAGTTAAAACTAACAATACGAGTAGATATCTTACAGCTATAAGTGTAGGTAGGTAGGGAGACTGTTTCCAGGCTACGAAATGTATTACTTTAATGGTAGAAGTAGGAAATAATTGATAGTCGTGATTGGGTTGATCTGGTTGTATAGAGCGTAATTATTGCACGATGTATTGCATGAGAAAGCTTCTGAGAGGATGAGCTACCAAAAAGGCTATCTCATCCAAATATATACATACTATCGGAAGATATACGGTGAATTAGTTAGTAGTATTAGGAGTACAGTTGCTATTCCCAAGAGCCGATATTCACTGACGATATTGAGTAAGCGACAAGCAATTGTTAGTGAAGAATATAATCTATTCTAGGTGTTATATTACTGCCTACCTATTGTGCATAAGGTACAGAGGAAGGCATCTCACCGCTATCCCATATTGTATACTCTGTTGCGTTGTGAAATCCACTATGTCATCACACTGAGATTACTCAAAGAACAAATTATACATTTCACAATATAGGTTCGCGTATTTAATTATCTTACTGAATAGGCAGTGCACGCGAGCCAGCTGGCATACTAAAGTATTACGTTAATGGCAGGTCTTAAGCGAAGTAATATCAGACCTCTGGTGTTAAGACTTTAAGTAGTTAGTGTTGTGGAAGCATAGATCTATACGGGCTTACAGCACTTGCCAAGATCTGATACTAACTTTATCCTAATGTAACATCCATATGATTAGTGAACCAAACAGGGAACGTGAGCTTATTATGATCAATTGGGAAATTGTTAAGATGTAATACCTAACTTCGCTTCCGGATAATAGAGAGAATGACAACTCACAGAACCTGGGCACTGAAGGTAGCACTCGGAATGTGCGGAAGGCCGAATTGTGCTTTTGAACTTAGCCAGGACTTTAATCCTATGCTTAGTGCTAGTGGCATTGGTTTGGTGTATTTTCTGGCATAAGCTGGATTTCTGGAGAGGCGAATGGCCGTCTGGTTTTGCGACAGCGAGAGCGCTGGAATCGCAACGTGGTCACGGAGATATGTATATTTTGGATATCCCAGTGTCAACAGCCATCGCAAAGGAGAGAAGCTAGCTGATATTTATTTGCAATATTCTAAAGTGGACGTGCAATTACTTGCAAAACGCGCTCGCCGTCATAAGAGTCCTGAGTGGAAGTGTTCTTTCTAACTCTCACAATTCGCGTCGACAGGGTGCACTCTGGCCGTCCTTATGGCCGTCTGAGTCAATGTTCAGATATAAAGAAATAATATATTTGTGAAAGTCCGTCTCAAAATTAAGAGCGCTTCTAGGTAACGACATGATTTCAAGAAAACAGTAGTTAGTATCAACCTATGCGTAGTATACTGGACTGCAAACAACGGCCGCGGCTGTTCTTTCTAGAATGCTTTCTACATGCTTCGTACAGGATATCCAAATCACAGCCTCTAATCGTTTTCTGTGAATTTCTCTCTGTTAGCTCAGATCTAAGACGCATGGCAGCTAGCGAGTTACGGAGGAGCCTTTTTAAGAAACTAACAAGTCAAAACAGGAAGGAAAATACGTAGAGTATAGCGAAAAAAGATTTTGCGAGCGAGTGTAGACATACAGTGGTAGTGATACTCCATGTGCAGTTGATACAGAAGGGATGAAAGGAAAGGAACGAGGAGTCACGAAAAGCCCAACGACAAGATTTCCATAACTCGGGAATATTACTGCTGGATTTCAAAAGCAGCGAAGGATGGATTATGTCACGTGGTTTTGTTTCCGAAGCTAGTAACTAGAATAATGCCTTGGTATATAGATTGATATACCCCAAAACAGAAGTCAGATTACAGACTCAGGTAACCGAAAGCGGAAAATTACCCGAAGTTCTGGTGCATAGGAGAAAATTATGATCTTCTGCTAGAGAATTTGCATTTGATTCGTTTCTTCTGCTTCGTCTTTTGCGGGCGCAGAGACAGTGACATTCTTGGGGGGTAGTTGTGAGTCACGTGATCATATCCGCATGCTCGGGGTGGGTGGTTCTCGAACATTATTTGCTCGGTGATTCAATACGTGTTCCGACTGTTGTGCTGCTTCCAACTCTGCTACTCGGTCTATTTGGTTTATGCATGTTCTTTCCATGAGATTCCACTTGTGAGTAGTGAAGCATGTTCTGCCAAGACCGATGCAATCAAGGCTCCTACCTAACCGTGGGACGAGCTGACCAGACAAAGTAATTAGAACAGTGAATATGACAGGCGGAATAGAAGATGCCTTGCGAATAATAGCTGATTGAACCTTGCTTTAACAACACCATATTCTGCGTCGAGCCACTGCAGACAGACTTGATTATGTCCTATTGTCTATTTTCGGTTGCAAAGGTGAAGGCAACCATGGCGCCATGTTTGCCCTTCAGTGTATTCACCTCGCCGCGTCGCACGCGATTGTCTCCCGCGTACACATCCTTGATCAGATACTATCCACTCATACGCCACGTCGCTAATTCACTCTACGTGCTTTTACACTTCACTTCCAATCGGCAGAGCCAGCCTTTTAGCACTATATACACCAATTTAGCACTTAGCATCCGCCACACAGACTGACGCTCATATCGCACACGCCGATACATAGCCATTATACGGCAATCCATCGCCATGCTGTCCACATCCCAGCAATCCAAGCACAAGTCTGCATTCTCGTCCAAACCCAAGCCGAAAACCATCCACGAAACAGCCACCTACCCCCGCATCACCGTGGATCGGGACAGCGACTCATGTTTCAACGACTCCATGTCCTACGAGCACGTCCTAGCCTGCGGACATATTATCCTGACCGCCACCGCTAACGAGCCCTGTGCTCCAAACTGCCACCACGTAGCCAGCGCCCGCGATACAGCAGCCACCACGGCAGATGTGCCGAATAAGAAGAAAGTCGGAAAGTTAGAATTCTACTGCGACGCGTGCGTTGAATCCAAGCACGAGCAGTTGATTCCTGAGTATACAACTGCAACAGTAGCAGGTGAGTCTCTCCTTCCTTCTTTTCTCCTGCTTTCTCGCTCCAATCCATGATACACGGCCAAAAACCCAGCACTAACAACTGCAACGACAGAAAGTCTCCGTGCCAGCATGCGCAACAGGGAAGCCCGAAACCGCAACAAGACATCCAAGTACAGGCCTTGCTACATCGGACTGAAAATCACCTCGATTCCCTGCCACCGGGACGGGAGACCTAGCTCGCGGTATGAACCGCGGACGCAGCACCATGAGTTCGACACGGCTGTGCCGCAGGCTGGAGATAATTTCTTCGAGGACATGCTGAAGTCGGAGGGAGCGATGTCAGAGCAGGACGATCGTAGTGTCGACATGAAACCGCATGGCCGGGAGGAGTGCGCCGCCGCCGGGCCCGTAGAGTTGGAGTCGCTGTCGCTGTGTGTGTCCGATGACGCTGCAGCATCACGTGAGAACAGGGGCAGTACCGACGATCAGACTGCGCCAAGGGGAAACCTTCAGACGAGGAGATATAACACCAGGACAGTGGCGGCGCTGACGCATAATATTGCTTGCGATGTGCACGCTACTATTTCTCCTAGTCATGACGCTGATGCAGAGACTACGCTGTCGAGAAAGCGGAAGAGAACCGCTGTGCGTGATGCAGAGGATCAAGATGACGAGGGTACTATGTATCGCGTGGCGAAAAGACGGCGGATCGCGATGAGGTAGGACATGTGTATGCATAGGGTGAGGTCCATGTCAGGAAGAGCGAGTTGAGTATTCTGCGATATTGACGATAAGATTGTGTATTACAGTGTCAGATTGGAGATTTGCGGTTGGGGTTTGTCATGTGACTGGTAGATTCCAGTGGTGCTGTGTGCGCTGTGGGAAAGTGCCGTCTGTATGTATAGCGAAGGCATCGTCTGGTACTAGAACTTCCCAAGTACCCATATGCGGCTAACTCGATAACGTATATAGCTAACGTATGTGGCAAGCGAGCGCCGCAGGCAAGCGAGCGCCGCACCCCACCAAACCTGCGCACCTCTATAAGCCTGTAGTTCCACCACAATATAGTTGTTTTACTACATATTAACATAATAGATTAAGCAGTACCTAGAGTATCTTTCTTGCACGTACGCGAGTTATGGCCAGTCTCTCTGCACCTACTACAGCGCGCCAA